AGGACTGTCACGGGGCACGACGCTACGACTTCCTTTAGGGAAGAGGGTGGAGGTGATTGATGTGAGGCGACTGAGGGAACAAAAAGAGACAGAAATTCTTGATGTTCTGAATAAATCTATGCAAATCTATCTGCTGAAGCTGCAAAAAATTTAAGATACAAACGAAGATATAACGAACACAGGGTAATGCTAACATGTCAAGAACACAATTCTAGTTGTGAGCAAAAAAGGGAAGAAGGGTTTTGATCAAACATTCAAAGACAAAGTTGTTCAGGCAACTGCACAGAGCACAGAGTAACAGCCCATCAGGTAGAACTCGTCTTATTTTCTATTTATGAATCTGTATCGACGCACATCCAGAAGCATCTGATCTCACTGCTCTAATCGGAGCATGAACATTTTAAGGCTCCGATTTTTATGGAGAAGCTTAAAGGGTTTAAAATATCAAATAACAAGCAAATAGAACGAAAGTCAGTGAAATGATACTAAATGATCTAAATACAGGACATTACCTCTGTGTTCCAGTGTTGCTTTCGCACTTTATTCTGATCATATAGACCCAGAGCAGGCGATAGAGTGATTCCAGAGCCACACGTGCCATCTTGGGATCTTTGTTCTGCAGTTACACGTGGAGGAATTATTTATTAATAGTATTTGGCTAAAGTGTTTCACATAATCAATTTCTTATGCAGCTCAATCACATATCCTCAACATGTACAGCAGCCCTAATGCTTTAACACAAACCAGAGTGTCTACAGAACTGCAGTGTTTCCATTTAGGCAGTACATAATGACCTTTTTTTGTTTACAACTGAATTCAGCGTTATGTAGAATGATGAATGCAGTTCTGTTCTTCAAAAAATCTCCCCTCAGGGCTAAAATGACTCGAGCACACGTTCTATGTCTTTGCATGCAGACCTGTCATCTATACAAAGCTGTGTGATCTGTTTATTTGCCACTTCTTCCGTCTGCTGTGGTGTAGAGAATGAAGGCGGCTGACCTTGAGGTTGGAGAGGCAGTTGTTGAGGAAAATGTGCCAGCGACTGAGGAAGAACTGCTTTTGACTGACACACAGCAGACAGGTAACCAGAGGATACAGGGCCTGTGTGGACAGAAGAGCAGCAGAGGTAAGACCACGTGCATTAGGCGTTTTGGATGAACATTAATCAGTGTATTACCAAATGAATTCATCTTTTACCCTTTATTTGTTTTTATGAACACAAGAAGTCTGGATCCTAGCCGATGATGCTTGAGGCTCTAGTAGTAGTCAAGATTTACTTTCAAGACTATGGTGAAGCCAATGTCATCAACAATATGATTACTACTTACTGCCTGAAGCTGGGCATCTAACCTGAAGTTGAAGCCTCCACAAACATGCTTGGTGTGTAAGTGGTATTTTAAGCTTGAGGTGCTTCAGTGATGATGTGATAATTTTTTTCCAGTGTCGACTTTGTACTTCTAATTTTTTTCCAGTGTCGACTTTGTACTACAGTAACAAGAAGTGATTGGATTTATGAGCAAGCTTCATTATGCTTATGCTTTAAAATGCAATCTGACCAATTTCACCTATAAATTATCAGTAAATTTTGACAGACCTACTTTTCATATTTTAAAACAAGCAGTTATAAATAATATGGAGCATAACAACAGTAAGTGGAAAGACTGCAGGAAAATGGAACTGAGAAACCTGCCAACTTTTCAAAACAAATCAACCATTTCAGGTGTACTTGACATCCAGTCTGTTTAAGTCTGCATGTGCGTCATTCTTTACGTGGCTTATTGACAATCAGAGTGAGATCAGTAACACCCCTGCTGAAGATGTTTTCTCTTTTATGGAAAAATGTCAAGAACATTTTTTCTCTTTTTCTCAGGTGCTCAGACAATAAGGGAATAACAATTAAGAAAATGCATGACTGCCATTCCTGTCATATCTACTCTGTGTCAGACAAATTTTTGTTTGTGTCAAACAGGGTTCTTATGTGAAAAAGCTTTAAAAAAAAGTCATGAAGAGAGTATGCAAAGTAAATAGGTGTGTCACATTCCAGAAAATGTATGGGCTGATTGAAGTATTTTGGAAATCTGAAGTAAGCAGCACTGTGTTTTCCGTGAACACATTATAAATAAACAGCACACTAGATGCTGATAAAAGCTTAAGACAGCAATGGAAATCCTGACAGTGATGTAGAACAGAATTACCTTTCAAATCAGCATCTTTCAAATTGATAAACCTGCTTCTACAAGGAATGGCTACACGAGGACGTCTTATAGGACAGTTTTAAAACTGCATGCTGATGCAAGTAATGTCATCTTCTTGCTAACTTCAGCCTCACTTCCTGTCTGCTGCTGCCATCAGCATTCCACCACCTCCTCATTAATGAAAGCTCGAGAACGCACATGGACCAGTCCGATGTGGATTTTTATGGATTTTAATTGTTAATGCGCTCCGAATTAAGTTTGCATATTGAAAGACCGACTCAGGTTGACTTACTGTTAGTTTAGAGAAACATTTGGCTAAGTAGAGGTCGGACTTGACTGCTGTTGTAGTACGTGTACTTGCTTGAATCAAGTCAACCTCATATTTAACCCTTTCACCTTGAAATCTCTTAGGATGGGAACTCTATCTAAAGGTCATGTCTTCCGTCATCTACTCCCACATAGTTATAAACACGTTGGCAATGTCGAACGCTGTTTATTTTCAAGATAATCATTTGCATTTTCATTCATCTGCAACAAAGCAGACACGTCAGGAAATGTCTTAGTGTTACAAAGTGTTCTACTTCCAGTTTTTTACAACAACAACAAACACATTTTGCTTCGGTTGTCATAGCTACGCAACAAATAAAAACATCTGTGTGCCACAACATTGCGTTCTGTGATTCTTGAAAATATCTACAAGTGAGCACCCATAAATGTGCAACAAAGTAATTAGTGTTATATTTTTGGAGTGAAATCAAACAATTAAAATTTTAACATTTATTATTACTATTATTTATTATTTATTAAGGTAGCTGTTCCTGATCCCAAATGTGCCAAAAAATTATCTTCCACGTGTCGTGAAGTGATAAAGTGATGAAACTGTTCAAATGGAAATAATGTCAAGAAAATATGCAAAAACATAAAATGTGTGTGAATTTTAGTCATTAGTCAAGTCGTGGTATTTAAAGTCAGGTGCTTTAGTGAAACCAAAACCTTTTTTTCCCACAGTGTGCAAAATAACAAGTAACGGCTATTGAGTAAAGCAACGACAAGGGGATGGACATTGGTGTTACTCAATACGCAGTGCACATAATTTTGTCGGTGCATTAAATTACATTAAAATCTTTAATCTGATTCATTATTCATAAATTATTGCAGTTAATACAGTAATTTTAGAGCCCTTATAAAAAATTGAACTTTCTTTGCTGATTAAATTAATAAACTGCTGACTCCTGCAACAGTCAAAACTAATGGACTAGCAATGTGAGTTTTCTTGTCACTGGGTGACAATTAATGAGACTATTTTTAAGCATGTTTATGTGAGGCTGCTGTTTTAATGAGAGAGATGCCCTGCATGTAATTTGCTGATTGCCCGGCTCGCCTCCCTGCTGCGAGAGAAAACTGCCCATCTGGCGCCACTTCAAAAACAACACGGCGAACCGCTACTGCACGCCCGTCTTCTTCCCATGTAGAGATAAAAGCCCACATGCTGCACCGTTACAGTAAGTGCTCTCACCAACTGCTGCTAAGAGAGAGGAAATGATGCGAACAAGCAGTGATGAAACAGAATATGAAGGTAAAACTTACTAGAGAGTGTTTTTTCCTCGAGGACAGGTCCAGGGTAGTATCGTACAAACTCTCCACAAAGTTCCGCAGGCATGGAACGTTCACCTCGTTCTTCACAGTCTGTGGGAACACACGCAGGGCAGATGAAACTGGATACACATTTAGCTTCTGTGAGTTTACTTTCAAGTCTTATCTGGGACAAGTAATGAAATATTTAGGCTCTTAAAATTCACATTTCAAAACAGTACCAGAAGACAGAGTTATTGTTAAACAAATCAATATACATTTTCATCACAGTAAATAGTGCATGTGCAGACTCATTGGAGACACTCACAGCAGCCACAGGTACAAGGATCTCCACAAAGAGTCCAGCTAAGGAGTGTTTGATGTCTTTGTCCTTCACTTCCAAGAAATACTGTGCACATTCCTGTAGAGACAGACAACAGTGCAAATCAATTCACAAAGTTGGCAAAAGCCATATTCTAATTTATATTTATATAAATGTATGTACTATAAATAAAATATAATTAATTTTAATTTAGAGCCGCCACGTTTTTAAAAAGGATTTGCTTTCTTAACTAGTCTACTACTTATTAGTCAAAATGTTTTGTTGATTGATTAACTCATCTCTTTTTAACCTTTATTAAAAATGCTATATATATATATAAATATATATAGTATATACATATTCACACTGTAAAAAAAAATCATTTCATGTCTAAACAAACAAAAATTGAAGAAAACTGTCACTGTAATGTTCAAATGCGCCAATTAACGTCATGCCAAAGTTTTCTGCAATATATACAGTAGTTAATTGAAGAATGTGCTGACGTGAACCCACCTGCATGAACTGGAAAGAGGCTTCGAAGTCTTCCACTGGGTACATTTTGATGCGAAAGAACTTGAGTCCCATGATGAGACTGATGGTGGACTGGATGACGTAGGGACTCTGCTCCTTCTGTTTCAACTCCTTCAGCTCAGAGATGAACTTTTTCCTCACTGCTGGGAATCTGGAGAAAATTGTGAGCAGATGTGAAGTGCTGCTCGGTTCTGTTTGGCAAATGTCATCACAACTAGCTCTCAGCTGACAGCTGCTTTATTTCCATGATTTTTCTTAATGTTAAACTTTTTTTTTTTTAACTTTTACTCTTTCATGCTTTTTCGTTTCATATGTTCTCTGTCTGTATAAGTGTGTTGTGTGTAAGGGTGTGCTGTGTGTGCCCATCCAGATAGATTTTCTTAACCGGGCTCTGCAGCTCTATATTTAGAATGGCATCTGGAGGGGTGATGTGAAGGGAATGTGTATGTGTGCACTTGTTCTCAGGGTGTCTGTGTTTTTTTGCACATGCTTGTGATTGCTTCACGGGGTCAGCTTTTAGTTAAGTGTTAGGAATTACAAGTGTTTAGGTTAATGGTTCAAACCGAAATCCAGGTTTATTAAACAAAGGATAAAGGTTACAAAAAAGTTATTGAGAAAATAAAAAAAATATGAATTAGTAATCTGTTAGCTTCGGTTAAGAAAAATAGAAAAAAAGGGAACTTAAGAAGGTAATTATTATTACTAACGCAAACATAAGTCATAACACAGTAACAGTATTTACAGACAATAAAACTGTTGCAGATGCTCCACCTTTGAGTGACAAACACATTTGACACAAAGAACAAACTAATTATTTCTTTGTGAGTATTCTGTACCTGGACTGAGCCACGACTCCTAATACTTCAGCATAAAGATCAGCCACAATGTGCATATTTCCTGTGTTAGGTCCCAAATACCTTAAAAAAAAAAATCAAACAACAGCGACAGTTATTATTATGCCACTATCTGTGATTCTTTCATATGTTGATGTACATCACATAACTGCATGTCAAACCAGTGCAATTTAGACAACAGATAAAAACAAATGTTTCATTCAAGGCATCAAAGCATTTTTTAGAAAGGATTATCCTTTGTTCTTTAAGGGTTTATCAAAAGGTGAAGAGGACATGAATCAATGTCACTGAGAAGTGAGTGTATCTATGACACACAGCTTTAGTCAGAACTTCATTCTTACCCTTCTTTGTACTTGAAGTGCTTGAAGGCCAGGTTTATAACTTCTTGGATGAGTCCATCCAAAAGAGGATGGAGGGGGATCTGAATGGACACAGACACAGTATTTGTTGTTTAAACCCTGGGTTAAATTATGTGGTAATTTAACATGCATTTAGTTCGAAGCAGTTCTAAATCCATTAAGGTATTTAACAAAGCTTTCAGAAACCGAATATCAGGACATCATATTGAGTGAGGTTACGACCCAGTTAGAGGGTATATATTATATTGTATTATATTATTTTATATTCTTGGATTTGTTAAAATTGTAGATAAAGACTTACCTGCTTTAAAACTTCTATCAGCACAAGAGAAAACATGAAATCTATGGCCAAATCTCTCCTCTCTAATAGATAGTCCTTCTGCTGCTCATCACTGAAAAGAAGAAGCAACGACACACTATGAATCCTATGCACAGAAACATTAGCGACCTTTATTACATTACTAAGTGAAAAAGACAAGAATCTGTATATGGTATATTGACATGAAGAAAATTACAGTCTGATTTTAAAGGAGTAGGAAGCTGTTTTTTGACTTGAGAATACATTTGTTTAGGTGGTGGTAGTATTTAGTAGCAGAGTAAACCTTAGACCCAATTTTAACACGATTCTCTCCAGGCGTTCTTTAGATATCGTGTTCCCAAGGAGGGAATGAATGAACAGAACAACACGGGGAAAACACGGAGCCTTTGGTTACTCAATAAAGAGTGGAATAAAAAAAAAAAATCGATTTTCAAAATCTATCCTGGTTTTACAGCCTGAGTAAAAAGAATTGAAAAGAGCTCCTCAGTTAAGTGCACAACTATTGGTTACTCTTACTTTTTTGACTTGGTGTTGGCCCGTGGCCGATATTCGTGAGACTCGTCCTCCAGACCATTTTGCCTTTTGTACCAGTCAAACAGAGTCCTGAGTATAGACGGGAGGCAGTACTCTGCTAGGGAACTCATGGAGCTGATCAGCTGTGAGAGGAAGAGAAAGTAGCGGTCACTAAGCGAGAGATAAACTAAATTTGCATTAAAATAAAATTAAATGTAAATGTGGGTGATATTGCGTTATTTATTTAAACACACACACACCTGATCAAACTGCGGGTCCTCTCCTCTCTGTAAGGATTTGTTGAGGGGCTTCTCCTATCAAGTAAAACAGCAGGAGGACAAGAACATGAGAGATAAAATAATAATGCCAAAGACAACGCCACCTATTGAACTGTATACCTGTAATGTCAAGTAAATACCTGTGTCTTACTCAATTTAAGCAATAAGCCTCAAGCGTATTGCAATTACGTAGCAGTTTTGTCATAGTTGTTGGAGCTGTTTGAATTTTTTGGTGACTTTTCACAGAGAATTAGAAACTGTCTACAGCTAACTGTAACGGTCCAATAAAAATATTTATTTTATAGTGTAGTATACTAGAGTATGGTACGGTGTAGTGTAGTATAATATGGTTTAGTATAGTATAAAACCAGTAAACCTAAACAACTCAAATTTGGACTCAAGCAACTGCTGCTGTATGTAAAATCAGTGTTATTCATTGTATATTTTAGTTCTGTAATACAATAAGCACTTTCAAATACTGGACAGCAGTCAGGCTGCAGTTATTTTGCCCTTTGGCAAACTCTCCTTTTGTCCTGGGACATGGTGTCAATTCACAGCCAGCAATGTGTTCCTGCAAATATTGCTGATGTCACAGCACAGATGATGCTTGGTGATTAAATGGTCACTATCACTCCCTTTATTATTTATCATGAGGTAAATACTGTGGTAACCAACACTTCCATGAGGTATACAGTCACCCACCAGTGGCTCTGCCATGATGATGCGGATCTTGCGTTCAGAGAGAAGGGTGAAGTTTGCAAAGAGACTTTTCAGGACAAACTCCCCCGGTTTACTCTCCGGGTCCACGTTGACAGGCGCCATGACGACGGGACCCTTTCTCTCTCCTAAGGTTCCAGTGACAGGAGGTAGTGGTGGCTTCAGTCCCACAGGAGAAGCTGTGGACAGAAAGGACATATCGATATCAATGTGAAGAACATCTGTTTTTGAAGACATGACGGGAGAAGAGGGAACATCATTTTAAATTAAACATTATTTTGTGTTCCATTATTATGTTTCATAATCAGTGGAGAACCGTGGGGTTTTATTATCATCTTCCTAGAAGGGCATAGATGCAAACTAAGGCTCCTCCACAATGATTAATTGATGCTGAGTCAGTGTCTGTGTCTGAGTATGCTTTCTACACACACATACATGTGCTTGCAAATGTGACCACTCACACTGCCACACACGCCACATATTTTAATATCTGCAGTCTGATGACATCATTGGGTAAACAAAGCACAACATGGAGACAAGTAAGTCAGGTGATAAGGAAGTAGCAGGCTTTAAAACTATCACGCAACCATCATTTTATAAGAAAAATAATGACAGTTAAGTTCGTTTAGTTAAGTTTTTAAAGAAACAGTCTATTACTAGAAAAATGCTAGCAGTTTGTTAATGAGTCAGTTACTACCTTATCACTGCAAACATGCATCACTTACAAAAGGAAAAGGAAGTAGTAGATTAGAATGCCATCCATCCATCCATCCATTTTCATCCGCTTATCCGTTACCGGGTCGCGGGGGCAGCAGTCGCCACCCAAATCACACTGCACCGTACCAACCCCCCAAACCTTCCTGCGGGTGGTGAGTCCACTGGAAGGTACCAACTGCCCTAACCGGGATTCGAACTTGCCCAGGAGGTGAACCCTGGGGTTCCACACCAATGACAGAGACATTGCATCTGGGGCAAAGCGCCACTAGATTAGAATGATCCACTTTAATTTAAAAGTACAAAAAAATATAGTCCCTTATCTGTTCCACAATGGGGAAATTCACAGTGTGAGTTTTTGGTACCAACAGCGGCTGCATCATCGGAGGCGCCATTAAGTATGTGGCTCAAACACGTGATAACCGCTACATTATAGAACCTCCAATAGCGGAAGCTCAGGTGCAACAACAGCCTAGATGTCAATACGTATACTCAAAATGTTTGATGTTGTAAACATACCACTATTAGTGTATCTAATTTTTAATTATTCCATCATCAAAGTTAATGAGTCAACACGCAGTAATAATATTTCCAGAATGTTATTACTGCTCTTTAACTTTATTAATCAGGATAAATGATGTTCGAGTCACAGCTGATGAGGTCAATTCCAATATTAACACGACACTGATGTATTATGGCCACCATTAACTAAGAAATATTGTTTTTCATGTAGAGATTAGCACATGGTGAGCAAAAACAACCCATCTAATTCTGTAAATATTTTAACAGCTTGAATTATGTCACAGTAAAAAGTAATAATATTAATTCATATTTCAGTGTTAGGTGATAAAAGTATTAGTATAATTCATTGCAGCATTTTCCAGAACTTCACTTCACAAGTGTCCACTACTTACTGTACTATA